AGACACCCTGTTTTCTGGTATTCAAACCACTAAAACAAACAACAAAATATCTAAACCTCAATAGTGTAGCATATGGTTGAAAAGCTAATAAAATGGCGCAGTTTTTAACATATTCGGACACTTTCTGGTATACAGGGTGTGAACAAATACAATAGACCAATCTTTTTTTTAATTTTTATCAAACATCTTAATTTTTATCTTTGAATCTATTTACAATGGAGGTTTTACAACTGATCCCCGTCATTTTCTATTATTCTTATTCAAAATTTAATGTAGAACACGAAAATGACAGTGTCTACTCAAATCCATTTACAGGTAATTGAGAAATAGCTATATTAGGTTGGAAAACATAGGTAGTTATTTTTGAAAAACATAGTAAAATAATTCTTTGGGAAGCTAATTTTTGGACTTGGAACCTTTTATATGTATCATTACACTGCATTTACTTTGTACTTACGCCAAAAAAATTTTGTCACACTGATGACCAGCAACCCTGTATAGTCAATGCCTATATATTAAAACGTGCCAGGGTTTTTTTTTATTTCACGATTCTGAATCAACCACTTGACGGATTTTCATGATTTTTGTGTTTAGAGAATGATGATTTTGAGAACTAGGGAATGTTGAAGCCATAACTTTAGTTTGGCGTACTCTAGCTTTTGGTATAATACCATTATTTGCTTAACGTAACAGCTGTAAACATTCAGCGTTTTTGACGCAAATTCAGCATTTGGACGAAATTGAAAAGGCAAATGTAGAATTGCCTTATTTATACTATGTGTAGTGCTATAATCATTGATACGTTCATTTATTCGGTAAGAGGATGATAGTTTATTTAAATATACATAGTACAATACTAGATGTTCTAATTTATTATTTTAGGAGTCTTAGCCTCCTGAGATCAGATGTACTTGTAGAAGGACATTTGGTTTTCCGGTTTTGAGACCTGATTTTCTCAGAGTTTTGGTTTTGCTTAAAACCGAATGTGCTTATATAAGGACAAAAATATTTACTCACCAAAGTCCTGAAGAAAATTTTAGTTTATTTTATTTATTTACTAGCTGTGTAGCCGTTCTACGCACGGGGATCTTATAGTATTCAGTTGAAACCTTCTTATATACAGTATAAAGAACAGCAGTTGGTTTGCATATTTTCAGATATCCTGGCCAAACTTCAGGGTACAGGGTAACTTTTGACTGGATACATAACTTCATTTTATGTTGTTGTTGTTGTTCCGGATCGGTATGACAATCAATAAAAGGTTAAATTACCTGTGTCCGCCGGTCTATCCTAATGTATCCTATTACAGGAGATGCATTTCGGCGAAATTAAATCGCTATCATCAGTCCTAATATAAGGTCTTGAGCTTCCCCATTAGGTGCGTCTTGGAGTTTTTGAAACACATACACGAACTGTACACTATTATACACATGACGAATAAAACATAAATACACGGTAGGCCTACTTTTATTTTTACTATGGACATGTAGACGCGCGTCGGTCGTGTGCCGAGTCTCGACTGAAAACGCTCATTTAAAAAATGAAAGTTTCCCAGCCATATACAACACTGATTCAAGGTCTTTTCCCCGGTTATCAAAACTCAAGAACAATTTTATACACAAAGAATCTCTATTTTCATTTACGGTTACCCTACAAATTATAGCACTTGCGATTAATTAAATCCGTTATGTGAGGAAAAACGTTTTTAATCTTACTTGGTTTCCACTTGCTTTCAAAACGTGATCGGAAATGGTTGCGGTATTTGTAAACAACATTCAATGTAAACATATCAGTGACAGCTAGAAGAAATAATCTTGATTCGAACAGCTGTTCGTTATTTCATAGATGAATATGTGATAAACATTGGGAGAAAACTTTACAAAAATTCGCACAAAATTGGGTTTTTAAACGTCTGTCATTTTATTTACAAAGTAGTGACGCCATATTTTAATGGCTAAAGACAATCTCGTCAATCCAGTGAATACATTAAAATGATTTGGAACTTGATAGAAACTCTCGTTTTTCAGGAGTAGGCCGCGTAAAATGGCTCTTGGGCCGTGACAGACAGGAAGACAGACAGACAGAAATTTAGATGAGACTTGTTTCGGTTTCTTTAATGTATAAAACGTAAAAATAACCTAAAAGTTTACGATTCTTAGCAATGTACAGAAAAAACTCTAATTTTATTTATATAGATAGATTTAGTTTATTTTAGTTAAATATAATTTGTTATAACTAACAGCTGGTTGAATAAAAACATATTATATAGAACTATGAGGTTAGTGTGATTTTGTCATTGATTATAGGAAATAAGTAAGATCTTTGACTAACCGTTGGTGTATACGAATCGAAGCTCACTAATCTTCAAAAGAATGCTTATAAAAATGATTTTACTACTCGACTTTTTGAGTAAATGTTGGTAAAATAACAATGATCACATGTTTTAATTCATCTTGGCAGCTTTTTCTTCACTATAAATTTTGATCCGCTTAAACTATGCTTGAATTAATTAGTAAAAGTCACACTATTACTGTATATACTGTATAGTGTATATATTACTGTATATATATGGACTACTCGATTCCCGTACGTAGGACGGGCTAACAGCTCGTATTATTTGATTTTATTTTTATTTAAGATTCACTAGTTTATTAAAGGGTTTCATGGCTTTAAAATTAACAACCTTTGAGTGCTGATAGATTATCAACTTATTTATGACTACATGCATAAAGGTAGATGGTGGATCATAAACATAAACAAATCATGTCACTGGCCTGATTAGTAAAAACTATTTAATGTTAATACTAGGGAACAGGGAACAATTTAATAATTATTTACAAATACAATTTTACACCGGCAATCAAACATCTTTTTATACAGAAATGAATAAATAAAATTAATTTTACATACCTTTTTTCATAATGAGAAGTGATTGTACATTAAGCTACAAATAGAAAGTTACTTTAATTTTAATTTATTTGCCCATATACAGTAAGAGGTTTAACATACATTTTAGTAACATATGTTTCCACAACAATTAAAACTTCTATCACAATCATTTTGGGAATAGCTCATCCAGGCTGTAGTAGTTAAAGAGTTTTACAGCTGTGTCTTTTATAAGTTCCTCTACAGTTTGGTCAATCACCGGCTTCAACTCTAGAAATATAATCTCCCAGTTGTTGCTCATAAGGTTGTTCATAGCTGTTGCTGAAAATACAAGATAAATTAATTATGTTGAATAATATAAACGTGTGTAAGGATAAAGATATCATCTTCATTCAAATCTGAGTTTTGTACCAACTGGGTAGGTAGCCTGTTTAGGTATGGATTGGGTATTATGGAATCAGTACTTTGGTTCCATAGCAACCATTTTCAGGTAGATTTACACGTACCATACCTGTATGTTCAGCACTTGGTACAATAACTCATTAAACTTACTATACTCTGTTAACAAAATGTAGGCTGTTTGAGGGAAAGCGATTCCATCTCCTCCATCTCACACTAAACTTTGAAATAACAGCCAACAGCTGATCAGTTTATTTGTTAACATTAAGCAAACAAAGTGGTGGGGGAACCCAGTACCTTCCCCTTAAACTGCTAACGTTTTAGTAATTTATCATACCTACTTTAGTGTACATATTATATCCATCCAAAACCTGAATTCTATAATTTTTTTCCTTTTGTACTGTATTTTGTAGTTTGCTAGTATACTGTGGATGGCTTAATATAAACACATGTTACAATAAAGTCTTTTGTTTACTTTTAGCGAATTTTCCTATAGGGAAGTAGCTATTACCGTAGGTCTCATGGTTAGACTTAGGCCCGGGACCGATTTACTTTTTCATTTTGATGTCCCAAGAGGCCAAAAACACCATTCGTTCAAATTTATATATATATATATATATATATATATATATGTCCATCCGCACGATAACTTGAGTAATTTTTGTCCGATTTTGATAAAATTTGGTTTGAAGGTGTAAGGCGGGATAAACTTGAATGAGTTCGCGAACCAGCATGATCGGACTATGGGAACGGGGTTTTAAAGGGGGGTTTTATGGGGTAAAAATAGGTTTTTCCCATTTTTGACCCTAAAAACACAAAATTTCACAATTTATTTTTAAACCATTTTGTAGAGCTTAAAAAAACAAATAATTTAGTATATTGAAGCGTTATTATGCGCCTAATTGTTACGGAGAAAATTAAAAAAAATTGTAATTTTAAAATTCCCATGTTATTCTTATGGAGGATAAGTCAACTGTTGTAGTTTGCTTGTTTATGAACATATTTTGATCAAATTTGGAAAATACATTAATTTCTTACTAAACCACAGTACCTTTTAACATTTTACATGAAAAAAAAACTTTTTTACCCTCCCTGTTGCAGCAAACCTAAGCACTCATTAAACTAATTCTGTTTAAATAGGGAATAAATGTGATATTTTTAAGGAGACATTTTAGTTTAAATCCAATCAGGCAAATGGAAATTCGCTAAGTCTGCAGGTTTGCTGCGGCGGGGGTATTTCCTTGTTATTTGGTTCAACCAACTCGGTTTCTTAGCAACCCACAAGGCCCATGTTAAACATGTTAACTTTCAATTTTATTTTGTTACGTAATAAGATTTTTGTTGGCATTTACGTTTTTAGGCCAGATATAAATAATTTATAACATTTGAAGGAAATCGTCGAAGCCGTTTTCGAGATCTTAGTGCAAATATACAAGCATGCAATCAAGCATTCCATACATAAGCAAACATTGCTCATATAAGAGTATAGAGTAGGGTAGGGAGAGAAATTAAAATTAAAAATTAGAACCAGGTATCTGTTGGACTTCCGTACCTATTAATACCAACAACCGAATGGAAATATCGAACAATCGATCTATTGATATTTTCATTCGGTTGTTTGTGCCAACAGATACGGAAGTCTACCCAGGTATACTCAACACTGTGCCTGTGTTAACCAACCTTACCTAACTCCTCATTCCCATCAAAAAGACCGCTCATCTGTACTGTTTTACTGCCATGTCAAATTTGACTGTGTCCAGTCTAAAGAACTCCTTTCCTTCCATTTCTACAGGATGTCCTTTTAGAATCGCTTTCCCCGACACCATTGCTAGAAGTTCACACTTTGGTTAATACTTAAAAAAGTTTACAAATATTTACTGGCCTTACAAGTGTTCTGGAAACTTAAATGATTATTGCACAGTACAACATTTATTTGTCTTCAAGGTCAAAGGTATAAAAATTGGGCTGCACTTTAGTATCTGTCCTTCACTCATTCGAATGAATATATCAATCGATATATCGATTATTTCTTTCGGTGGTTAGGTCCATCAAATGGTTAGGTTAACATAACCTAACTAACCGAATGAAATAATCGATACATCGAATAATCTATACATCGATATTTATCATTCGAATTAGTGTAGGAGTTATACTAAAGTGCAGCCAAAAATTGCTTCTGGTTAGATCCTCTAGGTCAAATACTAAATTTGGTAAACCATTTAGAGATTTAGTTTCTTTGATTTCTTACTTTTCATGTGGACTAGTTGTGATGGCGTTTTAAAAGTGATGTCAAATACAAAATCTATAATAAGATACACTACCGGTACATTATTCAAAATTTTGTTCTATTATAATCATAAAGACACCCAGTATTTTATTTATCGGATTAAATCTTATTTTTAGCAAACCTCAATTCAATTCAATTATCAATCATTAAGATGGGGACGTCACTTAGGTGCGTATTTTAACCCAAATATGAGTGAAGGATGAGTGTAGAATGGTGTGAGATGATCTGTGTAGCTTTGTTACTGACTAAGATCACCTGTTACTTTAGCCAGGATCATTTATTTAAAGCCCAATGACCAGGAACAGCTGGGTCCAATTTCGAGCCATCAAAAAGCTACTGACCTTTCCCAGGATCGATCCTTTTGATTAGTAGGCGAGCACTATAACCACTCAGCTACCCAGCCAGTTTGGGTAGCTTATACCACCTATAAGTGTTTGGGACCCATTATAACCATTTAGAGAAGAAAAAGATAGGCTATCTTGGAGATTCCCTAAATTACTCCATTACTTACTATTTTCCTAATTTGATTACGGTAAAATTACAACCATACTCACTATAGTTACTCCAACTGTCACCATATCCGTTTATTGGAAAAGCTAATATCCTCCCTTCCATTTTAGTTTTTCCTCCGACATAGAGCCAAGGTAAGGTAACTGTAAACTCCATCTTGTAATTCTTCAGATCAATCCTGAAACAAGGAAATATACCCTTACTTTGATGTGGTCTATTGGTACAGTAAATTTAGAAGCGGATTTTAAAAACAAAAAATTAACTGATCTAACTGATCTCCAGAAATTTTGAAAGAGCTTAAAAACAAATAATTTAGTATATCAAAGTGTTTTGTACGGTTATTGGTTACGAAGTAAATTAAAAAAAAAAATTAATCCCATGTTATTCCTAAGGAGAATATTGTAAAATGTTGCAGTTTGCTTGTTTATGGATATGTTTTGATCAAAATTGGCAAATTTATTTATTTTATTCTAAGCTATTGATATTTTACAAAAAACACACTTAGTTAGTTTCCTTTTAGCAGCAAACCTAGGCACTTCTTAACCCTAATGGTATTCAAATAGATTTAATTGAAAATCAAATGGAATCAAAATGGAAATTCGCTTAGTTGGCAGGTTTGCTGCGGCGGGGGTATTTTTAAATGTAACTGACACCATTGTGCACATGTTAAAAAGCGTATTTAAAAAAGTTATTTTGATTGGGAAGGATTTTATGTTACTTGGCAGAGGTTATTCTGTAGTTGACAATCCCTTTGAAGATTTGGTCAGTAGACGTGAGGTCCAGAGATACAGGTCCACTGCCTTGGCGTAGTCGTATCTTTGGTACAAACAAGGGGTCCAAGGGTCCAATCTTGAGGCTAGGCAGGCCTGAGAAACAGAAACATTCTAGTGTAAGTCAATTGTAATGTTTTAAAAATTTCGCAGATTAATTTTAGTATACAAACAACATTTTGACATGGTTTACTGAACATAGCACAATGAATAATCAGAGAATAGCTATGGTAAGAGGTGGAATAAGTTGTAAGATCTGTGGGGGGTGTAAGGCAACATAGGCTAACCATAAACACAATTGATAATTTAAGTGAAGTAGGGGTCTCAAATTTTCGAGAAATTTGCTAGGTTAAAAAAATATTGTGAGTTCGAGCGAGATTGACTTTGCTGAGACACTTTTTCGAGACGGGATTATAAAAAACGCCTTCCCAAAGGAAACGCATCACCAACACGCTCCTGTATTGCACGGCTATTGCAGAGACTTTCTGAAGGCGTTTGTAACTGTGTACATCTTAAACGGTAAAATCAGTTCATCTGGTAATTCGTTTATATGTTATGACCCTGGTCCCGTCCATACCGGATATTACTGTATATGATATCAGGAGTACTTCAATTTTCTAGTCTGTTTTAGACTATTTTGATGTGATGCAGTTGTGGTGTGCATGTTCCAGTTTTTCATTTAAGATGTCTTATTTAATTGTTTTTCTTTTTTAAGATTTCCATAACTATTTAAGTTCCTGTAAGCTTTTGTTATTTTCTACACTCTTTTTGAATCAACCTTTGTAACAAATAGTTATTGTACTAAAGTTGTTGTTATAATAGGGCTTTATTGTTATTTATTAACCATTGTGCAAATGCTCAAACGAAGGATTACCGATGGTAATGAGATATATAGTCTCGTCTCGAACTTAGAATCCAGTCTCGTCCATACCTAAGTGACAAAAAGTTTAAAAATGTTTAATAGAGATAAGAAATAGTTATTAAATAAGGAAGTAAATACGAGTAGAACCCCATATGCCTTAAAATAGATCTTATAGATAGATTTGGTTTCATTTGATACATACACTCAATACATTCCTAAATTTTTAACATCCTTGATTTAAAACTGATAAAAATAATGATTACGCACCTAATATGTTAGATTCTAGTTTAAAATATCCAGCTATCTTTCGAGATAAATTAAACTAAGTACAGTACAACAGTCTTTTGTAAAATCTTTGTTTCATTTTACAATTTCAGATACTGCAAAATTACCAATACGAATTTTAATACCTCTTTAACACTGTTTTGTGGAATGCCTTTTCCAAAACAAGTCTAAGAATTACACTTGATCCGACTGAGTAGTTTTGCTAATGATTTCAACCCAGAATACATATATTCAACACACATAACACACAATCAAGTTAATTGACCTGATTTGATGTAATTCATGGACTGGAATGGTTGAACATAACCCAGTAGTAGTAGTATATATATCCTTAGTCAGTAAATATATCAATAGTAGTAGTATATATATCTTTAGTCAGTAAATATATCAATAAATAATCTTTACATAGGTATTCAGTTTATCACTGTTGAGTTTTCCTTTATATATATATTCTTTAGGAGATCTTGATAGAGTTTATGATGAATGAAACATGAAACATTGCAAATTTTCGTTTAATACAAACGTTTTCAAGCAAAGAGAATGAAAAATGTATAGATGAACAAACCAAATAAATATGAACTGTTTACAAATACTGTAGTTGAATTTTGAGAACATATGATTGAGTACAGATCAAAGAAAATAATAAAATCAGCCTAAAAGAAAATTAAAATTCAGCTGAGTTAAATTACTTTTTTACTATCTTAAATTTAAACCAGAGGGGAACTTTGTTTTCAGTACCAACAGGTGAGCCAATTCAGAATTTCTTAAAACCAGTTGGTTGCATTTAGGGTTTTGATGTGGGTTTACTTTGTGAAAGGCTTTAAGGGTATAGCAGCCTTCAAAATTTTGGTTGTGGTGAGCGGCATGATTATAGATTGGTTTTCTTTTGTCTTCATGTACCACATCAAGACGATGACCTGTCATTCGAACTCTTAAAGAGTTTGAAGTCTGGCCAATGTAATCTTTTGGACAATGTTTACACGATAGTTGATAAATCACAACTTTTTTAGATGAAACAGCTGACTAAATTCTTTAATTTGAAGGTTAGTGTATTTAGCCTCTAGGGAGTAGGGACCGAAAAAGTAAATCTGTCCCGGGTCCAGGTCTAACCACGAGTACTACGGTATACCTTATTTCCTATGGGAAATTCCTTAAAAATACAATTAATAATTTACCGTAGTTTTAGATTTGTCTAGAAATAAATAAAAATATTCGGCACATAAACGAACTATTTCAAATAATTATCTAAATACTTCGTAAGAAATACAAATCATCATAAAGCCAAACGATATAGGTATTATTTTATTTTTCGGATTGTTAAATAGAGTCAGGGAGTTGTTTTGAAAGACTGATACCAATGTGAGGTATGGTACTTTAATATAAACCAAAACCGCCAAAAGCTACAAAACTGAAATAACCACTGTTCGCACTTTGGCAATTGTCTGATTGAATTTGAGTTGTATGAGGGCGTTTGAAAGTCGTTTGGCAGTCAATTAATCTTATACTCAGACATTCTACTCCAAAAAATATCTTTACTAGGTCAAGTACTCAAACTCGACTGTATAGAGGCAAAAAAATAAAAATATTAAATAATGGAAATGAAACTTAGAGCATTTATTTTCTCACTGTTTATTAAATTAAACTAGAAAGCTTACCCTTTTTGACAAACGATTTTGATTTCATCGAGTTCATTTGATTTTCAACACAATTGTTGAATTGTGGTTCGCTTCGTCTGCAATCTGTTTGAAAACACAAAAACCTGTTAGCTTATGACTAAATCAACGTGTATGAAATAGTTCATAATTCTAACAACTAAAGAAACTTATCTGAAGTGGTATACACAAATAACAAATATAATGGATTTGTGTATTTTGGTATTTGAGGGGTGGTGTTTTTTTAATGTGTTAGCATAGTTTTTAATGTTGTATTGATAGTCAAAGGTGTTAGTTGTGAGTAGTTTTTTTTTTTTTTTTTTTTTATTCTTAATACTGATCTAGAATTTATCGTACAATAACATTAGCACAAAGCTAAAACAGATATGGCATATAAGCATAAACATTTGATGTTACTGACCCGCAAGTAAACATTCTTTTACTTGCTGGAACTGTCTAAACCATATGTTAATGTTAATGTTATTCGGGCCAGTTACGTCATTTGTTTGTTTATGATCCATACCGCCTTCGGTTATAATACTCGTAGTAATTAGTTTTTTTCCAGTACAGATTTTTCTACTTACTTGTTTTACAGTAAAAACTTGGTAACGTAAGAAGGAACAATAATACTGTTTGTCTCAAAAGGTCCATAATCTGAAAAAATACAAACTGTTATACAGAATATACATAGTATATAAATATATATATACATATATATATATAGTAGAATATATATAGTAGTTTGAATATATATATAGAGCTTTCACTCCTTTATTTTTGGAGCAGCTCGTAGCCGATCTAAGTTGTTACATCAAGTTGTTATGTGTTATAGAAGTAGAACTTCTATCCTATAAATATTTCCAACTGAAAAAATTATAGAAATCAGAATAGGATAAGATTCCTCGTTAGACTGTATTGGCTTATAACTCCCACCACAAAAGGATATTTAGTTTATTTGTAATAGTATCATTTAATTCAAAGTTATGCTATTGTCATTTAAGTGGCAGACTAAGCTAATATTAGGTTGGGAGTTCCCTATGCTGTAAATGAGTCTTCAGTGTTGATTGCCTTATGGAATAATGATATTGAAATCAGCTGTTCATTTTGTTTGTTTTCAATTTGAAGTATTTTAACTTTCCAAAACATATCGCAAGGGTCTAAAATTCCATTTTCGCTAGAACTACTCGAATGTGCAATGACCTGTTTTCGTTGCATGTTTATCACCTGCGAAAATCCATCATTAAATTTTCTACTATGGCAAATAGTTATTTGTGCAACTAGTGAGCAAAGTGAGCGAGTGAGGAATGGTTTCTCGAGTGAGGCAATTGCACTTTGCACTCGAGTTGAACATTATATTTTTCCTACAGTTACCATAAAACATATAAATTTGTAAAGAAACGTAGCATATTTTTACACAGAAGTTAACTTTTAATATGACATTTAATGATACAACAGTGCAACAGCTGACCAGCTAATTTACAGCCAGTACTGCCAACGTATTTTGCGCGCATACGAACTTGTCTGCATGTTACGCGCTCACTATTTCGTGCCTTCACGTTGCAAATCTGGAGTGAGACAAAGTAATTAGAGTGAAACATTGTCTCACTGATGAGCGAATTGGCCACTTTGCTTTCTCAAATCAGTGAGAGAACATGTACATTGTTAGGTAACTGTAGGAAAAGAATGTTTACTATCTTTTTCGGATTTTGCCTACGTAAACAAACAAATATTTGCTATTGTTTATCAACTGTTTCAATATCCAACAACTAAAGTAAATAATTACTTTGAATCAAAGGAAACCCCAAAAAAATGCTACGAGTTTTGTAATGAAGAAAATAATTATTCTTTGTAGTGTAGCGAAAAGTAACGTTCAAAACACGAGTGAAAGTGGGTCTATATATAATCTCGACCATTAAAAGTGATCGATAAATCTCGCACTTCAAACATGGTCTCAAATAAGTAATGACTCACTTTCTACTATTTTTATGAAATATACTATTTCCAGTTATAGGTACCACTGAACGTTGTTTAAGTAGACCTACTGTAATGTGTGATTTGTTTTAAAAAGATAAAACTTTTTTTAAAGTTTAGACATAGGCCTACCTACTTTCAAACCCTACTCATATCAAGTCAATAGACCCAAATTATCCAAGAACATACCATAGTGTAGCAATAAAATCAACCACTTAATAGTGATGTTTCAATAAAGATGTTTTACGCTTCAATTTCAGTAAACCTCTCAGTAAACCTACAGCTTATAAAACATAGCTCTCTTACCCCAAAACAAAAGGTGAAAAACTATTTGAGCCCTGATATTATACAGGTCTACTGAAATATCAGATAAAGGATATAATAACGATTTTGTCTTATGTTAATTGATTTGTGATGGAAATAAAAACGAAATAATTCATGGTATCAATGTTGGTTGAGTTATTTCAACTTTTTGGTCCAGGAATAATAACTGAAAAAGTTGGTAGAGAGTTCCGGGACACCCTGTGTCGTATTCCTGGAACCTACAGGTATTCATAAAACCCAATTACTAGTGTTTTTCAGCTTTAGCTATGTCAATAATAAAGCTCAGGGTCAGTTCATAGAGAGGGTTGAATATTACCAGCCGGATATTGCCTTTCATAAATTTTCCGTTGGACAACTTTATGTGGCTACAAGTCATGAAAATTCCTTTGGAGAGCTTAAACTATTCTTGTAAAACACCTATGGACAAGGTCATCTCCCGAAAAGTTATAATGTTAACAATAGCCCAAATATTGTTTAAAAAAACTTTTATTGGCCTTGTGGGTACTTCCAGAAGATACTTCGAATATAATCCGAAGTAGAATCTAATAAATTAAAAACTGTGAGAGTGTAGCTGTAGTCTACAAGTGTAAATATAAACATACTAATCCTTACAAAAACTCTCTTATTGGTTTGACTTTCAGCATTTGAAAAATATAAAAATCAAGAAGTTCATCAATGAGCTTTATTCAGTATTTTATCTGTATAATTTAACCACAATTATAAATATTATGTTTTTCATAAGACGAACTTAAATGGTTTACACATTACGTTTAATTACCTCTAGATTTTCGCAAAAAAATCATTTTAGTTTTCGACTCATTTCAAATTATATTTTTTTAATACTTAACTCTTTTCAGGTTAAAATTCACATTGGGATTTCAGGTTGTGAAAGATGAAGAAATGTGGCGTGTTTTTTACAGCTGGTTGCTTCATTGTTGGCAACTAAACTAGAGTTTCAACCGGTTTGGTGTAACATTTGTGTAATTTGTAGGTTGACAATGTTGCTAGATTCTTCGTCACGATATCTACATCCACGAAATCGTCATCTCATTCTAATTAAGCACAATTATTACATGTGTTTTTGTAAAAATGTTAAGTTTGTCAAATACATAGGAAAAATACCACCTCTGCAGCAATCTTGCAGACTAAGCGAATTTCAATCTGCCTAATTGAATTTCGAATCAAATTTAATTATGTCACACCCCATTTAAATAACATTAGGTTTGCTGCTACAGGAAGGCAGTAGCCTAAAATGTGCTTTTAATAAAATGTCAAAAGCTTATAAAATGAATAAATTTTCAAAACTTTATCAAAGGGGTATTTTTCAGAAGAGGGCCACCACTACTTAAACTGTGAAAACCCCAGTTTATAGCTTTACTCACACTTTTTTCTTTTAATTTACTGAACAGAAACAATCACAAAAACCACCTGACACAAACTGTAGTTTCAACAGTTAGGCGAAATAGAGGCAAATAGAGGCGGCCTATAATCAATAAGGCCCGATCAAAATATATCCTGAATGAAGCATTAAGCAACTGACAACAGTTTACTTATACTCTATAGAAATAAGATGGTGATAAAAACATTTAAGTCTCTCCGTAGATGAACAACAAAGCTTGAATATAAATTATTTGTTTTTAGCTAAAAAAATGGTTGAAAAATGAATAGTCAGTGTCAAAAAAGGGAACCCCTTATTTTCATCTTTTCATCCCATGAATTTGATCCACGAACTCGTTCGGATTGACATAAAGTCGTGCCAAATTTCATCAAAATCGGATTTGCTCGAGTTATCGTGCATAGATTCACGTGAGATATACGATAATAATAGCTTATTAAAGGGGAAATTCGCTAATACTTATCCCAAAATAACACAAACTAAAGATATTCATAGTACTCACTGTTTCTGCTGGTTGTTTTTGTTACAGTGAAGAAGCCTAACTTTTCGTTCACTATGAGATGCGGTCGACCTCCTGCTGCAGTCAAGGTCGGCTGGTTTTGGTCACTAGGACAGACTCATGAGAAGATCACCCGCGGCAGAACATAGAGTCAAAGATACTCTGGTGCAAAAAGATCATAGTACCATGGCTAGACCAAATCAATAGTGTAGACTAGGAAAGTAGGATTATACAGCGTGTTTTTCGTATCATTTCTACCAACCTCTTAAGGTATTATTTCTGGGATCAAAACAAAGTTTAAATACTGTATCACATTTAAAACGTCTAAAAGTCATTATTTACTTACAAGGACTTTGTATTTTGTATTCTTCAAACATAGTTTTGATTAATAATCGTGATACTTAAACTTTGTAATTTTGCACGAATCTCAATGCTAGTGTAACTAACATTGTAAAGAAATTTCGAAATGTTCCATGTAAAAACTCAAAATGACCGCAATTTTTTTCACGAAGAATAACTTAAAAACCTCTCCATCCTGTTAGTATAGAGCTCTGATGTACACACGCACAGGCGTCACTTCGAAAACCACCTTTTTGGGTTCAGGAACCCAAAACGGATCCAATCAAAACTCAAACTCGAATACTGTATTTTTACGAAAACACTTTCTCCATATCCTATGTATAGGGGGAAAGTAAAAATGTGTGATGAAACGCCCTTTTACGGTAACACACTCAATGAAACTCTTTCAACTATATCTGAATACAAATTTGGCTACAGGCGGCCCACAGGATGTGTTCTACTGGGTCCAAAAGTCGGGAGAGAGTTTCGAAACACCTTGTATACAGCCAATTTAAGTAACTTTAGGT